GGGCACGCGCCCGCCAGCCGGGGCGGGTCGCAGGTGCTGTATGGGGCACTGTGGCCCATGGTCCCGGCCAGGCCCGGCGGCCCGGAGCTCACGTCCATGGTGCCCCCGGGCTGGTCCCACGGCGCGGGAAGGCTGCCCCGCACGTGCTGGCAAGAGGGCAGCGAGTATTCGGGTGGCGCCAGGCCAGCCTCCCCGGTCCGATGTGAGGTGCCATAGGGAGTCTCGCCCGGCAGCGCTGGGCCCTGAGCCGAGCAGGGGAAGCCTTGCTCAGGGTAGCCCAGGAAGGGCTCTGCATCCAGCAGCCCCTCCATGCCCAGGCTCTCCAGGAAGACTTGCTCGCTGATGCGTGGTGCACAGGGGGCGAAGCCAGGGGGCGCCAGGCTGGCATCGGGGGCCCGGACAGCGCCCGCGCTCCGGTACCGTGGCACACGGGCGGTGGCAGGGGGAAGCTGCCCGGGCGCCTGGGCGGGGTCACTGGCCCGGCGGGGCCCAGTGCCAGGCGCCAGGCCATAGCCCGGGTACTCGTTAGTGCTGTGTCTCCGCAGAGAGGTGCCAGGGAAGCCGCCGGGCCCCGTCAGGCCCGCACCGGGCAGCGGGGTGGGCGGGGGGCCACCCGTGGCCGCGGCGTAGGTGGCCTTGAGGCGGTACTGCTGGGCCGGTGTCAGCCCCGGCAGTCCCCCGGCCTCGCCACTGGCGTCGGAGGACACAGGGTCGTAAGCGTCGACGCCGTTCGGGACCCCCCCGGCTTCGCCTGGACGCAGGAAGGGGGAGGCGGCCGAGGACCGGCGGCTCACGGTGTAGGCCGAGCTCACCGTGCTGGTGGTGCTGGCCCGGCGCTCACTGGCTCCATCGCCCGACGTCTCCAGGAGGCGGCGGTGCGGGGCACCAGGCAGGGCGCCACACAGCCCTGGCATCTCCCCTGGTGGTGCTGTGGGAGTAGGGGGGGCATTAGCATGGAGATCCTGTGCTGAGCAGACCACAGCAAGGGGCACTTTGGGGGGTGTGGGGCACTGA